CGGTTCAGGACATTTGTATATATGTGTATATATCGTTTTGGCTACACTGTGATTTCCGCTACTATTTCAGTTTACCAAACCAGCTTTTGATCCGACACCAGTCGGGTACTACGTTTTATAACCGTTTTTTGTTAAACTAAAATAACGGTTTTCAGATAAAATCAGATTTTACGGTAGCACCCTGAATCAGTATTTCGCAAAATAAATGTTTTTATTTAGAAAAATTTTGCGAAAAGCGCGCTCTGAATTTCATCAAATAGCGGGGTATTACACGCGCTCAGGCTAGCGGCGCTAGCAGCCGCTGCTTAGCGGCGCTAAGGCCATAACGGCGCTAGTGCCTGGGATGACAAAGAATTTTCGATTTATCTCCAATTCAACCTATCCTCCCGGGTGCTCGGCCACCCTTCAACCTCAACTCTCAATTTCAAAACATCAATGACCAAGGTTTCGCCTCTCAAGTTCGGTAAGCACATTAGGGTAGAGAGCAAATATAGTGCGATAGACGTGGGTTTTTACCTTCCGTATCACAAGGCAGGGGGGTTGGTATTCATTTTCGAAGATTCCTTGCGTTCCAAATGAAGTATACGGTGGCCGCTAGTGCCGCTTTCTTCAATTTAGATCTCCAACTAGACCCATTCGCCTCTTTCTTGGCCCATTTGAGAGCGCCTTTAAGGGTCGATGGTCTATGGCGGAGGCTAACCCAAGTACGAATATCATCCCAAATCTCTGAGCTAAAAGAGCACTCAAAGAATAGGTGACTCGAGGATTCATTTGCGACTCCGCATAGAGGGCACATCGGGTCTTCGTCAAGGAATTCTAGGTGGTCTTTTGTTCGAAGCCGATTAAGGGTCCCAAGCCATAGAATGAAGGAGTGCTTAGGGGTATTGCAAGCCCCCCAAACAACCCCACTTCAAGGCCTCGTGGGTCCTCTAGGCCGTCGATAGTCGTAGCATTTACTAGACCCATTTTGTCTATGTCGGTAGTTTCAACCACGAAGGAGGCCTTCCGCTTCTCGAGCACTTCCCGCTCTTTCGATTAAACCTTGTTGTATATCAAAAAGGGACTTGAAGAGAGGCGTGTCTGCCGGTCTAACTTCCCAATCCCAAATGGAGTTCCCCTTCAAATAAATGTTATGGATCCATTTTTGCCACAATGTGTCCTTCTTTGCTTGCATGTTCGAAAGCGTCCAGGTGAGCAATGCTTGGTTCCACGCGTTCAAATCCCTAAGCCCCAATCCACCTTCCAAGCGTGGAAGACAAAGACTGTCCCAAGCCACGGGATTATTTTTCGATCCCCAAAGGAACCTTCTACATAGTTGGGTGATTTTGGTTCTAACTATGCCAGGCAAGTGGAAGATCCCCATCCAAAAGCACACAATGCCTTGGATCACCGAGCGTAGGAGTTCCAATCTTCTGGCATAGAAGAGAGTATGTCCACTCCACCGACTAAGTTGCCCTTAAATTTGCTTAATCATATCATCAAAGAGCCTAGCCGTGATACGGTCCGCGGTGAGGGGGACACCGAGGTACCGAAAGGGCATTGAGCCGCACCGTAAGTTGGTGTTGTCAAGGATTGTAGCCCGACTATCGTTCTTGACACCGGCCAAGTAAATATTTGACTTTGGTACATTCATCTCAAGTCCCGACTTAGCTCCAAAATCCTTGAGGCAATCCATGAGAACTTGAATAGATGGGGGGTCTTCACGAGATAGAAGCATGAGGTCGTCGGCGAAGGCAAGGTGCGTGATTTTTAGTTG